TGTTATATTCTATTATATTCTATTATATTCTATTATATTCTATTATATTCTATTATATTATATTATATTATATTATATTATATTATATTATATTATATTATATTATATTATATTATATGATATGATATTATATAGTTATGTTATATTGACTGCAAGAGGTGCGATCCGAGCTGCAAGCCCAGCTCAAGCAGGCCTTGAACCAGCCAAGGCCCATGCTCTTCACAGTCCAAGTAGACTCTGCTATTTGTTGTGTATGTGTATTCACTGCCAGCTTCATGCATGATATAAAAAATGTGATTCACTGCTGCGCTTCACGGTTTTCTATAGTTGTGGTGTCATCTCATGCTGGCTGTCGGCAGCAATAGCTGCAGCCACGATCGCAGGGGCTGCCCTGACGAAGTGTTGCAGGCCCACAATGCCGGGCAGCGCCAGCAAGGCCGGTGACACCGCAGCGGCGCCACGAGCATTGAGGGTTTGTATGGGGCTTGTGCATGCATGGCTCGAGGCACTCTTCTTAGTTTGCGGCTCCGTGAAACACCTGGCAGTCAGCGGTCTTTCTAGATAGGCAGTTGGAGTAGTCGTTCAGTCGAAGGCTTTTGCTTCGCCGTATGTTCATACAACTGTGCCATGTCACTATGTCAAGCTGTTGTCCTGTTTCTGGCAAGTTTCAGGGATTTGCGCCACACTCTGCCATGCAATGGGCGACTCTGCTTCCTGTCATTTTTTCTCTGCTGTGGCTTCGCACGATGGGTGGCGACGACGGGAAGCGCCCGCTCTTCTTTTGGGCTCCTCGGCTTCGTGATCGGATCGCACAGGCTAGCTAAGCAGTTTTCGGTTCCATGTTTGGGCACCTCTTCTGAGGCGTGTTGCTTCATGCTGTGCTTTGGATTTCCTTCGTTGCTTCCCCCTCAGGGCAGAAATAGAGGAATGTAATTGGTGAGAGCGGTCGAACTTGCTGCACAACATTGCACAACCAGCTTTCACTGCATGCCCCATACCTTACATCTGCAGGCCGTACTTTCCTGTGCAGTGTGCAGGTTAGCCCTTCGACAAAGCAGACTTTGCAGAAGGCGAGGTGGTCGTTGCGCTGTCGGCAGACATCTCTGAAGAACTGTGCCGATGGCGCATACCGGCCAAGCCACGCCTCTACTCTCAAGGGTACTTGGAATCTTGCCAGACCAATGCCACCCGCAGCTGTTGCAGAGACAAACCTCAAACAACCACGTGTATCGTGAACCCAAATCTGGCTCCTCGCACACAGCTCGGCACAGAAGTGCATGATGAAAACTATTGCCTCAACACAAGCGGCAAAAGAGTCGTAGCAAAAGAACACAGCAATACTAGCTGGCTAGATAGAGTAGCAACCAACTACTAGCGCTACTAGCTTTCACAGCAGTCTTATGCCCTGTAAGGTTTCACGAAACCCGCCAGGCAGCTGAGGAGGAGGAGGTCCCTGTGGCCGAGCTGTGTCTCGGGCGTCAGTTAGCCACGGAGGCTCTGTTCACATGTGAAAAATCAGACAGACTTCTGAACCCAGATGTAAGATTCTACACTGATTACAGTACCGCCGCCTCAAGGCCCGCCCTCTCGACGGAGCATTAGTAATTAGGCTTTAGCTAAAGCCTCAGAACCTGACGTCTCCGCCCCATGTTCCCAGTTTCGAACGCTGGGTTGCACTCCGCAGCGCTGCTCAACAAATCGTGTTGCGACTTGTCGTGCAGAGTTGGGGTTGGGAGGCACTGTGCTGAAGATTGGATATTCGACTCGTGATAGAGCTGCTCCACGCACGGCTCGTAATGTCGTTTCGAAGCGAAACGCAGACAGTCCGCCGGAACAGCGAAGCTGCTCAGCTCGATGCAGTCTCAGGAAGCCCGCAGACCGCGGTCAAGGCGGGGCAGATCTCCCAACAGAGGCCGACTTCGACCCCAGCCCTTCTGTGGCACGGCTTGTCGAGCCAATGATTAGGGAACAGGATGCAGATTCATGCATCCTGGTCCTACAGTAGGGCTTCATGGATGTAGGATTTAGGAATTATAGGGCCCTGAGGGCTGAGAGGTTAGATGGGGCTTCCTGGGGCTGACTCAATCCTAGATGGGGCGCAAATGGGGTCGAGCTCTTTTGATTGATTGAGTCAGTCGATGTGTTCATGTGTTTGTTTGTTGCCGAAGCCATGCCGACATCAACCATGTTCGGTCTTAGCTCAGATGTCTCCGTGTGTAATATATATATATATACATACACACACACAAAATAAAACTACGATAGATTCATACAAATATAATACATCGGAATACACACATGCGGATGCATATTGTTGTTGTTCTTGCCCTTGCCGGCGCATCTTCTGCGTGCAGGCGCATGCCCGCCGACTCTGTTTTAAGACTTCTAACCTGCACTACCCATCTGGAGGTTCTAAACAGGGCAGGGGTTCTATACTATGGGTCCTAGTACTGCGGATCCGACTAGTTGGGCCTTTTATCATGCATGGTTCCCTAGTGACTGAAGTTTCCATGTCTGGGAGATCCCCAAGGAGGAGTGCAGGGGTCTTTCTGACCGTTCCCGGGTTTAGGGCATGTGCAACAAGAAGTTGGGCATGTCTGCGCATGTCTTTCACCGACAGATCCAGCACATAGAAATCAGGCCTTCGAAGCAGGTGGAAACATTGAGATCAAAGATGTGAGACGTTCCAGCACCGATATGGACGCAGAGACTGACACAGTATGACACAGTTATAATAGGCATCGGTGTTGCTGTTCTCTTCTCGTAGTTGGTCCCGGTATTCCAAGAGCTGAGGTGCCCGAGCTCCTGGAGTCCCTCACAGAAGTGCAGAAGTCTCGCGGCCCACCTGCTTTGGATTTGTAGGCCCAGGCCAAGACCAGGGCCCTTGGGACTTTGTTTTTTTTCGGCGGTATGTGGCACAGTGTCCTTGGCAGAGCTGTTGTGCTCGTGCGGAGGCATGTTTACAACTTCCTGCGTCGAACAGTTCTCCGATGTGGGTTTGCCGCCTTCGGACATGCATGAAACACCAGGGCTTGCCCACGACCACTTGGAGTCTGTCGAATTATTCCCCGGGACGAAAAAATGACACTCGCTGTATTGTCCATAAACGCTTGGAACACTCACGATTGTTCCGGACTGGTCTCTAGATTAAAGTGCAGTTTGGTCGACAATCACAACGTCCAGAATCTGAAAGCTACTCGCAGTCATGTGAAGGCTGCACGATATGATGGTATGTAGAGATCAACAAGACATGAGATCAGTTCTTGAAGCTTGAAGCCAGAGCGGAAAAAGCTAACTAGTCCCATTCGCATCTCGAGCCCGGGTGACTCAAAAGAAGCCTAAGAATTCAACCAGACAAACAGACAAACCATAAGCAGTCTAAGCTACTAACACACCCCCAAGGCTATGTGCTCCATGACCTCGACCTGCAGGCCCTCACACACCTGGCAGACTCTGATCGCCGTGCAGTGCTGACATGGACCACAGGCGATGCTACTTTGTGTTAGCGCAGGGGCGCTGGAGTTTTGAGCTCAGGAGCCTCAGGGCTGAGTGCTATTGGCGTTCTCCTTCGGGTGTTGGGATGCGCTGCGTGAGCTGGCGCTTCTTTTGGCAAGTCTTTGCTGGATGGAGTTGTTCGGGTGTAATGTTCAGGGAGAGTGCTGATGCTCATACGCATAAGAGCAGGGTTTCATTTTTTTGCTCGCAAGGAGACCCTGAACTCACTCGACCACTGGAGACCTTGTGGGAACTCGAAGCCCCCAACCCCTCGAGCCCTCCCTGGCCTCTCAGGTGAACGGCCGGAGTTCCTGGCCTTGGCTCAGAACTTGGCCTTGTCGGTTCAGCTGAAGGCGGCCTCTGGTTTGGTGGGGGCCGGTGTGGGGGAGGCTTATTTCTGGAGCAAAGGGACATGAATTCCGCCATACTAAGTGCAATGATGCCGAATCCCGGATCTAAAGTCTGGGCCACGAGGCTCCTCCCAATTCTGCACTCTGGCAGGTGCCGGGCCTCTTTCCGCATTTCTGCGCAGCTTGACTCTCCTTGTATGAGACGACTGGCTTTCGTGATTGTGGGCTGGGATTCGGGGTATAACGACTGAGGGGAGGCCCTGTCAAGGATGCGGTGATTTTTGACATGGGCCCAGTCAGATTTTAGACGTTTAGGTCAGGCAGCATGATCAGAGCTTGGACTCCATTTTCCTAGTCGAGGCTTCCTCTCCTGCCTCTCGAATGAGTTAGGGTATCGGGGAGGTTTATTAGGGTTTAGGGTTTGGGCCACGTGCTCATGCTCAGGTGGTGGCAATGGACCATGCTGCACACGAGGAGACTCAGAGGTGGTTTCAGATCTGCAGTTCTTGGAAGCCGCTTGTGAGGGTTCACACGTTAGGATGCACCGTGAGCATCAAGCTAGCCAGCCTGCCTTCTGTTTTGGCTCTGCACAGTGGTTCTTACTTGTATAGTTCATTCGTAGATTCGGGACTGCGGCTGGGCTTCTACTAATTTCTACTACACCGCGTCTGAATGTGTTTCTACCAGGGCTGCGGGGTTACAACATGTTACAGCACCACGCCCGGCCCTGGAGGAGCTGACGCGTCGAAGGGTCTGCTCCCTTCGCTACACGCGCCACATGTCTCCCTCGGGCAAAGCTGCCGAGCGCTGGGATTTTAAGCTCCGGCTGCTGATGACCGGGCTCTACATCGGATTAGAGCTCCCAGGTCAACACTTGAGCGATCTTGATGCGAGCTGTCCGCATGCTTCGTGCTACGCGGATCGCTCCACTCAGTGTTAGTCAGTTGCATGCGGAAGGAATCTCCTGCCACGTTGCGCTTCCTGCAGTGGTAGTTCTCTAAATTAGGGTCCCTTTTCGGGTGCCAAGTATAGTCCGGCACCCTTATAAAACGAACCCTAAAGTCCTAAACGGTACTCTTTTAGAGAACTGCCCATGTGCTAAGGTTGCTTGTTTTGGATGCAGACAGCGTGCTGCTGTCTGACCCCTTCCGAGCTGTGTGGGCGGACTCGGATCTGGAGACAGGCCGTGGTCGGTTCACTGTACCATGGCACACGGTGACATGTCAGAGTGGAAAACCATGTGCAAATACTTCTGCCAGGCACAGACCATTTCTTCCCCGACCGAGACCTCTGGCAACCCGAGATGAGGCCAGAGGAGAACTTGAACACTGGGTTCCTGCAGCTTGGAGATATCTCGGCACTCTTTGTGTTGTCGCGTTCGCCGTCTTCCAACTGCGTGTATGCACGGGGATGACTGAGAAAGCGTGGTGTTTTAATCAGGGACGGGCACAGACATGTCTCTTCGAAGAGCGGCGCTAAAGATAACAACAACGCGTGAAATTGAGAGGCCGTAGCTGACAGCTTCCCATGCGCCGGCCTTCCTGTCCGCGAGAATGTACATGCCGATTTGAAGCCCTGACGCTCTGAAGCCATAAAGAGTGGCCTTAGGCACAAGGCCGGAATCGTGAGTCCATAAGGACATAAGGATGCATGTCTTGGCTTCCCGAAGCTTTGGTTCGCCAAGTTTGCATTTATCCGACTTGGACTGTGTTAAGCAAGGAGGCACGAGACCGGGTTGTGTAAAGTCCTTGTGGATGGAAGCCGTTGTTGATTTCAATCTTGTCGCTTGTTCGAAATCGCCAACTCGCGTCGCAAAGTGGAAGAACCGAAAAGCAACTCAAGCCTCCACGGATACGCAGCTACATTTCAGGTACGCGGACGGGACGCGCAAATCGGCGACATTGTTCTGTTTTCTGGCTCAGTTCCTCGCTTGATTGGGGGACATGGACATGACAACAAAGTTCCGGAGCAGGCGCCTTTGTTCTCTGAGATGCTCGAAACATGCTAGGCTACCGGGCCACCTCACATGCGCTGAAGGTTTCCGATGTCCCGGAAATCTGCAGATCTTTCCCCCGCCTCACAGACATCTCTGAAGCCATGCTGTGCCAAATTTGCAGCCGAGGTTTCTAGAGCTCTTCGAAGCAACGGACCGCCTTGCTTTGCCTCGTGACTTCTTCGACCAGCGCGCCTCTCGCAGTGCATGTTATCTGGTATGTACCAGGTGCACGTTGGCTTGGTCTGCTTCTCTAAGGCGAGTGTCACAGCTCGGTATTTTAACGGACTGCAATTCTCCTTAACCTCTTGCGAGGGTCCAGAACCACAGGGTTTAGATTATCAGGGCTTTTTAATATTAGGCCTAAAACCTCATTTTGTCACGTATTTTGCGAACTTTGTCCTGGTTTGTTTGTTTTTGATTTTATTTGTTCTATTTGTCATTACTTATTTTTCAAGTCTTTATTTTGATCATTTTTCTGGTGATTGATTCAAATTCCGGTGCTGGCTTCCTGCTGTTCTACGTCTACAACATCGCCGAGGCCAGGCTGCCCTGCATAGTGAGTGTGTCAATGAAAGCACCACCGAATGAAACATCTGCTGTCAAATCAAGCGATTCATTGAATGAAAGTCATCATCCAATGTCATGTAATGCAACAGGGAAAGTCATCATCCAATGTAATGTAACCTGTAAATAAAGTTACTGGTGTGATGCTATTAGTCTGTTTCAGTCTTTCAAAGCCTTCCTGATGCCCATGGCTGCTTCAATTGAAATCTTTGCCACCTCTGCCGACGCTGCTTGATCGTGGCGGCGATCACTGGAGGGAAGCCTTGCGACAACTTCGATGGAATTGTGTAAACTGTGACAGAGAAGTCCGACTATACGTATGGTTTGCATAAGCTCCGAAGGGCTGCAAAACTGGAACACTGGATGAAAAAGGCAGAGCGCCATGTCCAAGATTTCGGAACTCTGGATGGACTAGCCAGACAGCACCGAAACCATGCCAGCAAGATGTCGGGACGTGGCCCATGGATGATGTTCTGATTTACGACAATTGTGAGTTGCAGCTGTTTGATGGCCGTGTTGTTCGTCCAATCCGATCTGCAAGCTCCGGGTAAAGCCTGACATTGTCATCGCTATGAACAGAGATGACAGATCTCGGCCATGTGAGCCATGGACTCGCATGACTATTTGGCGGCATGTGGACGCATTGGTACTGCACATCTTCGATATGGTGGGTGGGGTCAAACTCATGCCAATGAGGTTGACTCATAACAAAGAACTAATGAGTTCAAGAGTACTTGGCGCCGCCTTATTTCAGGTTTCAGACAGATTCTGTCTTGCTGGCACCGTGAAGGCGGCGAGTCCTTCCAAAGGCAGAGTGCCAAGGGCCGAAGTGGCGTGACGGGCAAGAACGGCAGCTAGGGCAAGGCAATCGGCAAGGGCTATCACCGCCACAAGAATAATAATCAGAAGGCATCGAAGGACCGCAACTTCAGCAGTGTCTCTGCCCGCTCCAGCAAGGGCAAGGCAATCAGCAAGGGCTGCTTCAAGGGCACCGTGGGGAAGAGTTTCGAGGGCATCGGCAAAACCAGAAGCACGGCCGATGATGCAAGGCAGAGTGCCATTGGTTTGCAGGTGGCCGATGAGTCATTCCCACTGCTATGGTGGCATGAACAGGACCTGTGGTGCTTATTGTGTACTCGATGACCATGCAAAGCGCCATTGCCAGGTGGATCCAGCGCCGAGCCTTCTACGTTCCATTCAAGGATCGTGAGTATATGGTTGAAGCATTGCTGGAATTGCAATGAGGAGCTGCACACGTACAGACGTTGATCATGGACAACGTAAGTTAAGTACGTAACGTCGAATTGTGTTCCGACACTGGCCCAGCCAGAGTCCTGGACCTGAGACTGGATTGCTGGCTGGAGGTGAAACACTTTCAGCTGGAAGTCACGGCTTAATTTGAAATACCTGCCTGAGCTACTGAGTTGAAAAATAAAGTGAGATCATGCCAGTCTTGGTTCTGGAAGTTGTCAGTTCGTTTATGGGTTGTGCCGACATGGTGAACAGGGCCGCTGGGGCGATTGGCTGAATGAACCCAGCCGGTGACACAGTCAGTGCAAGTGACTTCAAAACTGAGTTTCCAGTGCTCTGCGCGTGTGTGTGTGTGTGTGTCTGTGTGTAAGAATGCTCAAAGAGCTCTCTCGTCTATGCCAGCTACATTAAAAAACCCGCAATCCTCGCAGAAAATCGTTGAAGTGGACTGACCTGGGAGCCAGGCTGGTTCCTGAATTTAACTTGAAGGTGTGTTCACCGTGACGTTTCACCCAGTTTCGGGCAAGGCTGAGCGCCACAGGAAGGCAGAGTGGCAGACGGTGTCGTTTCACCCAGCAGCGGACCTGATGATACGCAAGGCATGCTGTACGGCACTTTGCCTCCCCTGGTTTCGGTTGGCTTTCGACAATCTAATTCGTTTGTACAACAAAATGCTTCGGCAAGACAACTACGAAATCAGCAGGAGGTAAGTAAGATACCGATTTTGGGTGGTGTCGACCCTCCTAAACCCTAAACCCTAAACCGATCTGAGGCTCGCACCGTTTTGCACTCAAACACATCGGATGTGTCTCGGATCTTGTGACATGCAGCAAGCAGTCTCCGCCTTGCAGTCCTGTCAGGTCTGAGGCCTGTTATGTTGATTGTAGCATTGTAGCTGTACTGCTATGATGGACTGAGGACTGCAAGACTGCACGACCTGCAAAGACTGTGCATTGAATTATTTCATGAGGTCGAGCCACTCTGCATAAGCACGGACTCTCCTTTGAAGTGGACAAACTTCCTTTCCCACACGCTTGGAAAGGTTCTCCAAGCATCTTGGCGTCACTGGAGGATCACCGGGAGGAACAGATGCATGATCTCTGTTCATCCGAAGGAACTTTGCTCGTACATACTGCTCAGTCATCTTGAGAAGAATGACTACCCACTTGCGTTTTGCTTTTCGCTCACATTCCATCAGTACCCGTCGGTCATGGGGACAGTCGTCCATTGGGCCTGGGTCCATGGCACAGCACACAGACTGCAATAAGACTGCAGTGTGGGCCTGGGAACAGGATGTGTTGACTTTGAGCAGAAGCACGCTGCGCAACGGAGGAAAAAATCTACTACTATTGTACTATGTTCAGGATTGATTCAGGGCTGCTTGCCCGGAAAGTAGGCCTTGCACAGTCTAGTCTTGCTGTCCCATAAGAAGCCCCAGTAATGTAATTTACAACATATATATATAACATATTTCATGAGACTAAGTCAAGACTGTAGAGCCTGCAAAAAGCCGCTTAGGCCCAAAGGCTTGTATACAGTCTAGCAGTTCTGCAGTCCACCAGGAAGTGCCCCTAGTTTATAGATATCGGTCCCTAGAATAACCTGGACTGCAAAACTGCTGTAGAACCAAGAGCCTCAGCAGGATCAACTTTTGAAGCCTCAACATTCATAGGCTTAGGAAACATTTCAAGCCTCGTAGGCCTGATAGCTTATTGTTAAAAACTCATCCGCGGACACCGGTGCAACTCATGATCCATCAGCTGCACCTGCATCGACAGATGTCTTCAGCCTTTGATTCCCTGTACACTAAGGCCGTTGGCAGTCTGCAGTCTTCGTCAGAACCCTTGTTAGTTACAGATTGTATGGGTCTGCAAAATAGAATATATAACGTGGGTCTACTGCAACTGCAACACATGGGACTGCAACACTCGGGACTGCATCACCCAGGGGGACTGCAGGACGTGGGACTGCAGGATCACCCTCACGCAGTGCCTACGCTGCAACAGCAGGACTGAGGACTGGGGCACTGGGAGTGCCCGGCTCATACCCCTCTGAAGGATGCCGGGTTGCCACGGGTTCTCCACGGGTCTTCATCTCGACCAAGAGTTTGGCCTTGAATCCGTCGGCCGACAATTCCAGCTGTTGCTCACGGGCAAGTAACACAGAGAAGCACAATATGTGTAAATACATGTGATGCCATGTCATGCAATGCATGCATCTGAATGACTATGGCCCCACTGGTGATCCCGGATTCTCCGGTCAGGGACTGCTTGTGCAGAATGAACAGCAGCATCTGATGATGACGGAGGTTGAGATACCCGGCCGAATTCCACACCTCAATCTCTGCGTTATGGACTGCAAGTCCTCCAGCTCCTCCTCTGCCCTCCAGCCCTGCTGCAGCCCTCCAGCCTTGCTGCAGCCCTCCAGCTTTCCAGCCCTCCAGCTCAGCCCTCCAACAACCAGCCCTGCACCCTAACCCAGCTCTCCAGCCCCCCTCCTCCAGCCCTCCAGCCCTCCAGCCCAGCCCTCCACCAACCAGCCAGCCCTCCCTCCTCCAGCCCTGCGGCTCTCCAGCACTCCAGCCCTGCTGCACTCCAGCCCTCCAGCCTTCGTCCAGCCCTCCAATTCCCCCTCCTTCAGCCCTCCAGCCCTGCAGTCCTCCAGCCCGCCAACCCTCCAGCCCAGCCGCAGCCCCCAGCCTTCCAGCCCCTCCTTTGTATTTCCTCAGGCGGGGGCCGCGGTTTGGGAGGCCGCGGCAGCATCCTTCTGTTGAGACGGGGGCTGACTGTCCCGGGCGTGGGAAAGCGAGCCGCAGTTTCGGGGGTAAGTTGGTTTAGGGTGTTTTTTTCCGGGACTTCAGGGTCCCTAACCCTTTCGGCTCCCGACGTAGGAGTGCCCGTCGAGTGGTTGAGCGTAGGCTCCCCGTAGGCTGCCCGAACCCCTCGTCCTTGCCTTAGGTCCCTATCCCACCCGAGGCCGAGGGGGCGCCCCCCCGACCCGAACCCCTGCCTTTGCCGCTGCTGCTTTGACTTTGTGCTCCAGCCGCTTTTGCTTTGAAGCCGGTGGGGGGTGGGCTGGGTGGGTCGGGGCGGGCGCGGCTGGGACCTCAGAATGTTGTTGTAGGAGGGTCGCCATTAGGAGTGCAGGTAGGTCCGTTTGTTCGCGAGGTTTCGGGTTTTTCGGGGCTTGAAAGCCCGAGTGCGCAAGGTTTCGGGTTTGGTTCAGGGTCATTTCGGAGGTTGGAAGGCGTGGGCTCCGAGGCAGCCATGCTTAGAGTGCAGGAGCCGAGGGTTCTCTGTGGGGTCGGGTTTTTTTTGAGGGTCTTCC